GTGTGGGTGAGAGTGAGAGTGAGTGCGAGTGAGAGGGGGAGAGTGAGTGTGGTTGAGCGCGAGGTGCGGGTGTGAGTGAGAGCGAGTGTGGGTGAGAGTAAGTGTGCGTGAGAGTGGGAGTGTGAGGGAGTGCGAGTGTGAGTGAAAGTGGGAGAGTGAGAATGGGAGAGTGTGAGAGAGAGTGAGCATCTGAGAGCACAAAGTACGGCACCGGCCACGAAATCTGCACTTCGAGGTTCACCCAGCGCTGTGCCTGCCACGAAATCTGCACTTCGAGGTTCACCATGCGCTGTGCCTGCCACGAAATCTGCACCTCGAGGTTCACTAAGTGCTGCACCTGCCACGAAATCTGCACTTCGAGGTTCACCTAGTGTGCTGCACCTGACGAGAGGCGTACCGGAAATGGAGCTGCAATCGGTTTACAGTCCAAAACTGCCGGAGACACACAATGCATGTGGTGCCATGCACAATCCCATACTCAGAGTTTCTCCACCCATGGACCTGCACTCGATGAAGTCGTAGTGCCCTGGAGTTGCGAAAAGCGGGCATCTCCTGAGAAGGGGCTCGAGAGTTGAAGCGCATCGCGACGAACTCAGGAAGTTGATGATCTCAGGGTTTGCCTGCGCAGACACCAGCGGCGTTGGTGGGCCCATGGCCGTCGCCGTAGCGTGGTGGGGCCTTGGATGCAGCAGCGCATACCGCTTGGTCATCGTCCCTTCAGGCACCTTCCCGTCCGCGTCTGCAGTACACATCGAGGCTGCAATGCTGGCAAGGACTCCAGAAGCCCTGATTGACGACGCCTTGGCAATCATTGCCTGCGCGTTTGCCAAGGCATCGGTCCCTGCGTCTGCCGCAGCAGCCGCAGCAGCCGCAGGCACCGAGGCAACCTCCTGCACTGTCCATAGCACACGAGCGCGCGCGCACGCTCTCTCTCTCTCTCTCTCGCTCTCTGTCTTTCTCTTCAAGCTTCTCTTTCTCTGTCTTTCTCTCTGCAAAGCGCGCTCTGAGCGCGCCTTTCTGGAGCGTATGTCAGAACGCGCCCGATCGCGCCGTCCAGAGTACCTGCTCTCTTTCTCTCTCTCTCTCTCTCTCTCTGTCTCTCTCTTCTCTTTCTCTTTAAGTTTCTCTTTCTCTGTCTTTCTCTCTGCATTCTGGAGCGTATTTCAGAGTGCGCACGAGCGGGTCCGCGCGCGCGCTCTCGCCCTGCTTGATTTCTTTCTTTCTTTTCTTTCTTTCTTTATGTTCTTTCTTTCTTTCTTTCTTTCTTTCTTTCTTTTCTTTCTTTTCTTTTCTTGTCTTTTCTTTCTTTCTTTCTTTCTGTCTCTCTCTCTCTCTCTCTTTCTGTCTTTCTGTCTGTCCTTCTTTCTTTATTTCTTTCTTTTCTTTCGTTCTTTCTTTTCTTGCTTGTGTTTCTTTGTTTCTTTCTTTCTTGTTTTCTTTTCTGTATTGTCTTTCTTTTCTTTCTTTCATTTTTTTCTTTATTTCTGTCGTTCTTCTTTTCTTGTCTTGTCTTGTCTTTTCTTTTTTTTTCTTTTCTTTTCTTTTCTTTTCTTTTCTTTTCTTCTCTTCTCTCTCTTTTTTTTTTCTCGGCTCTTTTGCGTCTGCTCTAGCGACGCCACAGCCCGTAGGCCAAAAGTGGCACCAGGCAAGGCTCTCTTCGCCTTGTACCTGGGATCTGCAACCACCTCCAAGCATCTAGCTCTCCGAACTTCTGGGCCCAAAGTGAAGTTTTTGCTGGCCCTTTGCTTTGACGCAGTGTTGATGGACCCACTGCTGCAGCCTGCCATCAACCACCCGGCTGCTTCTGAGGCATTGCTGGCACTCAACCCATCTGCCTCTTCTCACAAGACAATGACTGGTGTGGATTCGAAGTCTCAAGTTGAGGCCAGCTTCATCAACAGGGCCAGTGGCACAGTCCTTTGCAAGCAACTGTTGAAGGTGATGCTTGCTGCTACGCCGTGGGATGCTCTCCCAACACTGCTTGCACCCAAATTTGCTGCCTTGCAGAACCCATCTATGTCCAGGGTGGCCTTCTGCTAGAAGGTCCGAGCTGTCCACCAACTCCCGCATCTGTTGCTCCATGGTTCGTGCTGCAAACCCTCTGCAAACTGTGTCCTGTTGATGGGCAATCTCTGCATGCGTCGCACAGCCTTTTATCTTGCGGTTGCAGTGCTTGCACTGGATTCCAGCCTTGTAGATCTCCCACTCATGGGTGCCTGGTTGTCTCTCCCTTAACGTCAGCTGGCGAAGAAGGGCCAATCGACCTTGTGGTGGCTTCTGTTTGGTCTCCTTAGGACCGCTGTCAGGCACAGGCTCCAACTTGCCATTCATATAGTGTTCTTTGTCTTGCAGCATTTTGCTGATCCTCTTGGCGGCAGTCATGTAGACTTCCAAGTGCAGCTGGTCCTCAATCACCAACTCCTGTTCCAGGGACTTCGGCTGTTCTCGATGAGCCCTCTGCACTGCCAGTTGCTTTGCCAGGAGGTACTGCTGCCCATGGGTGGCCTGACTCTTCATCAGCTTCCACGGCACTTGAAGCAGCTGCAGCCTCTTCCACTCATCCTCTGGCAAATTATGCCACAGATCAGGGGCCACTCTGCCTGCCGCACCTTTTTGGATGGCCGTCCAACCTGCTGGGTGAGGTATGTTTAGCTGATGCCTGCCCAAAACCATTTGTAGGACCAGCCAACAGCCAAAGAACCATGCCCTTGCTTCAGTGCTGTGCCCTGGGGCGATGGCAGTGCATTGCCCATTGACTTGCCATGCATCAACCTGCCACTGCATTGCCACCACCGCTACAGCATATCTCCTCACCCTCGGGTCTTTGCTGGTTTGCTGCACACCAATGGCTAACCGCTGATGGGGGCCAATCCTCACAGGCCATCCATGACTGAAGATGCCATCAACTTCACAGGAATCAGCACCCTCACATGGATCAAAGGCCGGCTGATCAATGAGCCCCCTGGCCCAGAGCATAGTATTCTCATTGGCTGCAATCATCTGCTTCCACTCCTGCGGCAACTCATCCTTGTGATAGTTGCACTGCCAGACCAGGTGTTTCATGCTCACCGGAACCTGGCACATAGGACACATCATCCTCTCACCACCATAGTGTGCCCTCAATGAACCCTGCGTCCATGCATTGATTGCCACTTTCTGACTTGGTGAAGCTTGCTTCATTGCCTTCCGATATATGCTCCAGTCAGGCCTTCTCATCAGGGGAAAGGCATGCTCCAACTCTTGGATCCTGCGTGCCCTTTGATTTGCAAGTTCTTGCTGCAGCTGTCTTTGAAGATAGGGCCAAGGGAACTCTAAATTGAGTTGGGCTGTTGGCAGCAAGCCAGTTTGAGCACGCACCCAATCATTGAGACAACTGGCATCCCAACCCATGTCCATCATATAGACCTGAAGTGCTGCCATTGGTCCAGTGACCACCATCCAAGGATAAGCCGCTGCTTTCAATCTTCTCCAGCTAATTCTCCAGGCAGTGTGGAGTTCACCAAGTTGCTCAGGGGGGCCATTTGAGGACAAGCAGGTGCATGGCCTTGAGTTGTCTCTCAACCACCGTGGCAAGTGGATCTTGCAGCTTCTCATTCTGGTCGTACACAACATCAACACTGCCTCCTTTCTGGAGGCCTCCATGTCTTGCCAGCTGTGTTCGAAGCGTTTGCAGGCGCTGTGGTGCAATGCCCTGAGCTTCCACACCATAGCATGCCGCAGAGTGTACAGAGGTCTTCCAAACTCTAATCCGGATGGGTCTGGCCTTGATCTTCAAATGGGACAGCTTGGCATTTCGCCTTCCAGCCTTGAGAAGCCACTTTTGCTATGTTCCAATCCTCCTCCGTCGACCTCCACTGGAGTCCAAGCCTAAATCTTTCAGGAGTTCGTGAACTGTGGGTTGGTCTTCTCTCCTCAGCAGGGTGATCTCCTTCTTGCAATCATTCGATGAGGCGAGGTACCCAGTCTTGGCCAGGGACATTGTCAGCCCAGCATCCGTGAGCCTCTGTTGCAAGACGTCAAATCCATGGAGGGCCTCCTGACAAACTCCTCTCACACTATCCCCAACGAAGTCAGATGTCGTCCACCCACACATCTATGGTGGCTTTGTGGAACTGCTCCTTGAAAGGGCCTAACACTGGCGCCAGGATCAACTTGGCTACTAACGGTGCTGCAGGGCATCCGGCCAGGATTCCTTTTGAGCAGATCACAGGTTTGGAGGTGACCTGTTCGGCCTGGAGCAGCCGTGGCCCGGTATACACTTCGTATACCATGTTCATCACTGCAGGCGGGAAATCCAAAGGCTCCCATGCTTCCAACAGTTGCTCAAGCACAACACTGTCATAGAAACACTGCAGGTCCACCTGAAGCGAGACCACATGCTTTCCAGTGGCACGGCCAACCTCACATTTCAGCAGCCTCATGAGGGCAACTTGTAGGACATGTGTGCCAGGCACACTTCGCTCCCAACTGAGCTTCTGGCCAATGCTGGTCTGCCATGGTCGCAGTTTGTCCCATCTCAATCTACACCACGTCCTGTACAGCACACTCGTCAATGAGATGGGCCTCTCAATTTCTTCTCTCTCTCTCTCTCTCCCTCTCTCTTTCTTTTCTCTTTCTCTGTCTTTTTTTCTGCAGAGCGCGCTGTGAGCGCGCCTTTCTGGAGCATATTTCAGAGCGCGCCATCCAAAGCACACGAGCGCGCGCGGGCTCGCCCTGCTGTCTGTCTGTCTGTCTCTCTCTCTCTCTCTCTCTTTCTATTTAAGTTTCTCTTTCTCTGTCTTCTTTCTGCAGAGCGCGCTCTACGCGCGCCTTTCTGGAGCGTGACCACGCCGTCCATAGCACACGAGCGCGCGCTTGCCCTGCTGTCTTTCTTTCTTTATTTCTGTTCTTTTCTTTTCTTTTCTTGTCTTGTCTTGTCTTTTCTTTTCTTGTCTTGCCTTGTCTCTTTTTCTTTTCTTTTCTTTTCTTTTCTCTTCTTTTCTTTTCTTTTCTTTTCTTTTCTTGTCGTGTCCTTTCTTTATTTCTTTCTTTCTTACTTTCTTTCTTACTTTCTTACTTTCTTTCTTTCTTTCTTTCTTTCTTTCTTTCTTTCTTTCTTTCTT